CATCCTTTGGGTATATTCCCAGGAGTGGTATAGCTAGATCTTGAGTTAAATCAATACCAAACTTTCTGAGAAACAGCCATATTGATTTCCAAAGTGGCTGTACTAGCTATCTTAGCTATCCTGGGTTTTTGTTCTTCCACATGAAATTAAGAATTGTCCTGTCAAAGTCTATAAGAAATTGTGTTCAAAATTTGATAGGGATTGCATTGAATCTGTAGACTGCCTTTGATAAAGTGGCCATTTTTAATTAATTAATCAATTAATTAAATTTTGCTTTTAAAAATTTTATTTGTTATTTTATTAATTACAGGTTTTTTTAACTTTGTATCCCAGCTGTAGACCCCTCCCTCATCCAATCCCAATGCCACCCTCCCTCCTTTACCTCCTTCCTTGCCTGTTTCCCAATCCACTAATGGGGTGGGTCCTCCTCGCCTTCCATCTGACTTTAGCTAATCAGGTCTCATCAGGACTGTCTACATATTCTTCCTCTGTGTCTTAGTAAGGCTCCTCCCTCCTTGAGGGGGAGGGCGTTGATCAAAGAGCCAGCTACTGAGATCATGGCAGAGACAGTCCCTACTCCCCTTTCTAGAGAACCCACGTGGACACTGAGTTGCCATGGGCTACATCTGTGCAGGGATTCTTGGTTATCTCTATGCATGGTCCTTGATTGGAGTATAGGTCTCAGAAAAGAACTCTGGGTCCAGACTTTTTGGTTCTGTTGCTCTCCTTGTGGACCTCCTTTCTCTTCCAGGTCTTTCATCTCCCCCTTCTTTCATAAGATTCCCTAACTCTGCCCAAAGTTTTAATATTAGTCTTAGCATCTGCTTTGATACCCTACTGGGTATCAAAGGCACTTTATGGTAGGTTCCTGTCCTGTTCCCCGTTTTCTCCATCTTACAATGTTCATCCCATTTGCTTTTCTGAGTAAGGATTCATCATCTTATGCGGTTCTTCCTTCTTGCTCAGCTTCTTTAGGTGTACAGATTTTATTATGTTTATCCTATATTATATGTCTAATAACCACTTATAAGTGAGTACATACCATGTGTGTCTTTCTGCTTCTGGAATAATTCACTCAGGATGATCTTTTCTAGTTCCCACCATTTGCCTGCAAATTTCCTTGTTTTTAAATGCTAAGAAGTATTCCATTGTGTAAATGTACCACACTTTCTGCATCCATTCCTCTGTTGAGAGACATCTGGGTTGCTTGCAGATTCTGGCTATTATGAATAAAGGTGCTATGAACATGATTGAACAAATGCCTTTGTTGTGTACTTTAGCATATTTTGGATTTATGCCTCAGAGTGGTATAGCTGGATCTTGAAGTAGCACTATTCCTAATTTAATGAGAAAGCAAAGATGACCATTTTTACTATGATTTTTTTTAAAAAAATTATTCATTTATTCACTTTACATCCCAATCATAGTCTCCTCCCTTTTCTCCTTCCAGTCCCACCCTCTTTGTCTCTCTCCCCCCTCCTCAGAATAGAGGATCCTTCCCTCCCACGTATTCATCTTAACACATAAAATCTTATTAGGACTGAATATATATTCTACTACAGTGGCCTGGTCAGGCAGCCCCTTCACAAGGAAGTGACCGAAAAGCATACAAGAGAGACTTTGTCAGAGACAGCTCTTGCTCCCCTTGCTGGAAACCCACATGAATACCAAACTGTCCATCATGTATATATGTGTTGGGCGACCTAGGTTCAGTCCAAATATGGTCCTTGGTTGCTGTTTCAGTCTCCTCAAGCCCCCCCCACACACCTGGGCCTAGGTTAGTTAGCTCTGTTTTTTGTTTGTTTTGTTTTGTTATATTTGTTTATTTATGTGGAGATCCTGTTTACTTCAGCTCTATACTTCTTCCCAATTTTCCTCAAGGCTTCCTGTGTTCTGCCCAGTATTTGGCAATGAGTCTCAGCATCTGTTTAGATTGGTTGCTGGGTGGAGCTTCTTAGCAGACACCTATGCTATACTTCTGTCTGCAGGCGTATTAGTAATAGTGTTAGGGGTTGGCTTTCTCCCATGGTATGGACAGGCATTGGTTGGATATTCTTTCAACCTCTGCTCTATCTTTAGCCCTGCACATTTGTAGGCAGGATAAATTTTGTGTCAAAGTTATTCTAGGTCAGTTGGTATTCCCCTCCCTGTACTTGGAGTCCTGTCTGGTTAGAAGGTAACATCTTCAGTCCTACCAATCCATAAGCATGGGGCATCTTCCCATTTTCAGATATCTTCAATTTCTTTCTTCAAAAAATTGAAGTTTTGTCATATAAGTCTTTTATTTGCTTGGTAATAGTTACACCAAGATATTTCATATTATCTGAGGCTATTATAAAAGTGTTGCTTCCCTGATTTGTTTCTTGGTCTATATTTTCATTTAAGTATAACAGAGTTACTGAGATTTTTAAAGTAATATTGTATCCAGTCACTTTGAGGAGCTATTCACTAGCTGTAGAAATTCCCTTGCATAACTTTTAGGGCCCCTTATGTGTAATATCATCTGAAAATAATGTTACCTTGACTTCTTCCTTTCCAATTTGTATCACGTTGATCTCTTTGTATCACCTTGTCAGGTTAATCTAGCTAAGAGTTCAAGTGCTACATTGAATAGATATGGAGAAAATGGACAATGTTGTCTTGTCCTGATTTTAATATACTTGTTTTGAGTTTCTTTCCATTTAATTTTATTTAGGCTATAGGTTTACCGTTAGTTACCTTTCTGTTTCTGTACACACCTTGTATCCTCAGTCTCTCTAGAACTTTTATCATGTAGGGGTATTGGATTTTGTCAAAGAAAGTTTGTGCTTCTGTTGAAATGATCTTTTTTTTCAGTTTGTTTTATGCTGAATCACATTTATTAGTTTTTGTATATTCAACCATCCTTGCATCACTGTGATGAAGCCTATTTGGTCACACTGGATGATACTTTTGATGTGTTCTTGGATTTTAAAATAGTTTATTGAGTATTTTTGCATCTACATTTATAAGAACACCTGTTCTATAATTCACTTTCTTTTTTTATCTTTGTCTGGTTTTGTGTCAGGATAGCTTTGGCCTCATGAAATGAATTGGGCAATCTTTCTTCTATTTCTATTTTGTGGAATAATTTTAGGCATATTGATATTTACTTTGAAAGTCTGGTAAAATTCTATGTTATAACCATCTGACACTGAGCTTTAATTGGTTGTGAGAATTTTAATGACTTCTATTTTACTAAGAGTATAGATCTATTAAAATTGTTCATTTGATTTTGATTTAAATTTGGCAAGTAGTAACTTTTGAGAAAACTATTCATTTCTTTTAGATTTTCTAATTTGGTTAAGTACACGTTTTTAAAGTATGTCTTTACGATTTTCTGAATTTCCCAGACATCTGTTATTATGCCTCTCTTTTTGTTTCTAATTTTTTGGAGGTATTCTCTCTGAGTGTTTTCACTAGTTAGGATAACGGTTTGTCTATTGTGTTGATTTTCTTTCAAAGAACCAACTATCTGTTTCATTGATTCTTTGTATTGTTCTTTTATTGATTTTAGCACCAAGTTTCATTGTTTTTTTTCTTTTTTTTTCCATTTAATCTTCTTGGGTATGATTGCTTCTGTTTGTTTCTAGAGTTTTCTGATATGCTGTCAGATTGCTAATATGAGATATCTTTATTTTCTAATGTAGTCATCTGGTGCTATAGACTTTTGCTTTAGCACTATTTTCATTGTGTCCCATAAGTTTGGGGCATTGATTCTAGAAAGTCTTTAATCTATATCTGTCTCAACCCATTTTTCATTCTGTATAGAGTTGTTCAGTTCCCTTGGGTTGGCAAGATTTCTATTGTTTCTGTTGTTGTTAATATCTAGCTTTAATCGGTTTTGATCTGACAGGATGCAGGGAGATATTTTAGTTTTCTTGTATCTATAGAGACTTGTACTCTGTTCAACACTTTCAGGTGTCAGTTTTGGAGAAAGTTCTATGAGATGTAGAGACGATCTGTTTACATTTTTATATGATACATTTTGTGCATCCCGTCACTGTAGCAGGTGCACGAGGCAGTTAATTGCTCATATTACACTTGTACTAAAGAGACGGAGATGAGTGTTCAGACTACTTCTTTTTTTCTATTCAGTCTAAGACTCTTGCCCATGCAGTAGTGCTGTCCATATTTTGTTCACTTAAGACAGGATAATATTTTTTAAAATAGTTTAAATGGAGAAGATTTTCATGGAAGTAAAATGCTCTTCTGAGGAGCCATAGGTTATTGAACAGAAATATCAGTATCTGTGTAGGATATGACTGTAAAAGTTAAAGGCTAACGAGGCCCTAGTTGCCTTCACAATAATTCAGGCTACAGCCATTGCTCTTGTTGCTCACCAGAATGTTGTAGTTAGACCCTATTAATAAATTAACCACACACATTGGTCATAGTGCATGAAGAAATCAATCAGGAAATGAACTGGTATCGTTGTCGTTGTGGGTTCACTTTCAGGTGTCAGAAGATGCTACAACAGCAACCGAGGGGAAATAGTCATGCAGCCTCATACAGCTGTCAGTTACAATAATGTCTGGCCTGGCAAGATTTATTCATAGGTGCCATAGATTATGATCATGGCCAAAAAGTTAAAAGAAATGGGTTTTAGTACTAGAATGAGACAGACATCTCTAGTGAGTGGATGATTTATATTGACACTGTTAATATTTACAAGGACTTTGTGATGTTACTTCTGGACAGGAACTTAGTTTGTAATGAAACCTATAAGTGGAACAAGTAAGTCATACATTTGAAAATTAGAGGAGCACTTTGAACTGCTAACATAAACTAGCTAACAATATTCATATGTCATTGATAATGAGATTACACAGAATTGTTAAGGAGAGAGCATAGTGTGGAAAAAACTTAGCATAGTCATTTGGAGAAGTAACACTTGTGCTATTTGCCTGCTAATAAAACAAAGTCTCTCTCTAAATGGTAGGCTTATCCATTTCAAATTTATCTTTTTTTTTTTTTTTTTTTTCACCGTTTCCTAACTTGTATTATACAGTGGAATTTGCAATGTAAAAGTAACAGGTAAGAAAGCCCACCCTGAGCAGGGCATGGTCCTCTCAGCCACCCCTTCGGAGACCGATGAGCTTGGAAAGTTTCTCACAGTTCTCGAGTTTCATCGACTCCGCTTTCTGCCGAAGTCGCTCATCTCTGTACAGCCCTGCCAAGTTGGTCAGCTCCGACTTTTGCTGTTTCTCCTTCCAACAACTTGTCTGGGTGTAATCGATATAATCTTTCTCTATTGTTTTCTCCAGGTCACGAAGAGAAGCCCCTTTGTAGGCCTTGTCGAAGTTTTTATCCACAAAGTAAGGCACCTGCAAGTTCTGCGTTTCTCTAGAAATGGTGTAGCCCAAGGTTGATTTGTAGAATAGGCTATATGGGGGGTTGGCAGCCAGCAGCTGAGTGATGGCAGAGATGATCACAATCACCAGGACTGGAAGCAGCTGAACAAACGCGGAATACGGCGACTGAGGTTTGTCTTCTTCCTCTCTCTTGTGTGTCTGTGTCCTTTCATGGCGGTGCCGCTTGCGGTAAAAGTGACTGTCATCTGTCACGTTTGAGAACATGTGAATATTTCCTGAAGGGAAATGTCCCCCGAAGAACACATTAAATAGTTCCTCTGGAGAGATGTCAGCTTCAAAATCTCTGTAGTAATGATAAGATCTGGCTCGAGGTGCAGTGAAAGTCACCTGCTCATCTCCATACGCATCATAGCGGAGTCTCTTGTCGGGATTGCTCAGAACCGCAAAGGCATTTCCTATTGCTTTGAAGGCGTCTGTTGCTCCAGGAGCGCAGTTCTTGTCGGGGTGAAACTTGAGGGCAAGCTTCCTGTAAGCTTTCTTAAGCTCTTCATCGCTGGCATTGCGAGAAACACCCAGAATTTCATAGTAATTTCTGCACTTCTTGATTCTTTGTACTCCAAGTAGCTGTTCCTCTGTGTAAGTGGAGTTCCCATCTCCCTGCCGGCTCTGAGTCCATTCATTCTCAGACTTTTTTTCCTTTTGTGCCTTCATGCAGTTACAGCAACCACAGGGATCAGGGCCTTCAGCTCGTCTGTCATCTGGGTATTTGTTTCTTCTGATTGCATCAATGTAAGTGGCCGTGTTTTGTAAATAGCTGTTAACCGGTCAAATTCTCTCAGTGGACTGACAGTTCTGTGACCTCGGGGACCCGCGTCTGTCAAATTCCCCCTTGGGTCCAGCGCTCCCCGCTGCCCAGAGTGGCCGCCATATCGGTCTTCAGTCAGCAGGTCCCAAATTTATCTTTTTATTTTATAACTTTTCAACTCTGCACATCTACTTACCCTATAATTACAAATATAGTTACAAAAAAGATTTTAGAGGCCATCAACCCAAAGTGTCCATTGGATTAAAAATTTGCCTAAAGTTGTATTTACTATTTCTGTTTGTGTCTGTTTTTTTTTTTTTTTTAATTGAGGACATTTCAGTCTCATTAGTGACATGTTTGGTGTGCCATGTTTTATACCTGGAATCTAGACAAGTTTTGATATAAAAGGAGGGTTGGGGAAAGCATAGCCAATTTTATATTCATATGCTGCTGAGAACTAATATGTTGAATTAGAAACACTGCTGTAACATTGTTTCTTTGGTTATCCATGACTATCCTGTCCCTATCAGCATTAGACATGACTCTTATGCACAATAATGTCTATGGATTAATATGAACAATACGGTAAGAGCAAAGTATATAAAAATGGCAAGGAATTTTTTTGTTTTATTCCTTTTGCTTATTTATTTAGTTTTTTTTAAATTACAGCTTATTCAATTTATATCACCACTCTAGACCTCTCTCTCTTTTCCTCCCAATCTCACCCTCGCTTTCTCATCTCCTTCCATGCCCCTCTCCAAGTCCACTGATAGGGGAGGTCCTCCTCCTCTTCCCTCAGACCCTAGTCTATCAGGTCTCATCAGGACTGGCTGCATTGTCTTCCTCTATGGTCTGGTAAGGCTGCTCCCCCAGCAAGGGGAGGTGATCAAAGAGCCAGCCAGTGAGTTCATGTCAGAGACATGAAAGACTCTACCCAGCAAGGTATCAAAACAGATGCTGAGATGCATAGCCAAACTTGGACACAGTGCAGGGAATCTTTTGAAAGAAGGGGGGAGGTAGAAAGACCTGGAGGGGCAAGAGCTCCACAAGGAGAGCAACAGATCCAAAATTCTGGGCACAGGGATCTTTTCTGAGACTAATACTCCAACCAAACACCATGAATGGAGATAACCTAGAACCCCTGCACAGATGCAGCCCATGGCAGTTCAGTCTCCAAGTGTGTTCCCTAGTAATGGCAAGGAACTATCAATACTGTTTCAGTTGAAGTGAAAGAAGGTCACTAGACCCTCAACTTAGATTATAATCAAATTAATATTTCCTAGTATCACATGGTCTGTATCTGTGTGGTATGTATGTGTGTGTGTGGTATAGTACAGAAGAAGTAGAAGATTAACTCAATTTTAACTTAATGCAGTGTTCCATAACAGAGCTTCCATAAAGTCACCATCCATGATGGAATTGAACTTTGCAGTGATATAATTGTTATGGATCATCCAGCTTGTATACATTATTCTAAACCCAGGCTACATACCATATTATTTAAGTATACTATACAATTATACTACTCTAAGTAAGCTCAAGACACTCATTGTTTTATCAAATTGGACATGAGTATATTCCTTACCTTAGTTTGTTTCTTAGTTTGTTTCTGATACCCCATCTAAGGTGAAAGACATCTGTACAGATATTTTGAGAAAAATTAATAGAACAAAATTGAAGAAAAATGTGATACAAAACATATGTTTTTAAAGTACTAGAGATCAAAACATCTTGGGATGTTAAAAGTAAGAGTAAGATCAAACTTTTGCTAATAGAGAATAAGATTAGTGATTGACAGGCAATTTCAAAACCAAAATGATTGTATGGTTTCCCATAGCTGTCACAGCTTCACAACAGTGGGAATTGTAACATTTCAGAGAAGCCTCTAATTTTAAAAGATTTTCTGTCATTTCTTTTATTTTGTTGTATTTTACCTGACAGATGTATTTATTTTTATATGACAGGAATACCTTTATAGCAGTAATTAAAAAGCATAATGAACAGAAGTTGGCAATAAGATATTTTATTTTTAATTTGAAGCAGTGTTTTTTCATTACATATAAAAATATAAATATCCAATATATGTATAAATCAAATAGAACTTCTAATAAAATAATGTTATTTAGCCAGTATTATCTTATAGTGAAATCCACTCAATTTGTCAGTGTAAGGTTTTGATAGTGAAAAAAAAAAAATCTCAAACTTGAATTTTGCACAATAAGTTTGCCTAAATAGTTGCATAATTTGAGTTATCAACTCACTTTGTTTGATTAAATAATTCTGTTGACCATTTATTTCACCTTCATTCCTCTAAATGTTTAACATACACCACATTTTCGTGGCAACTGTGCTCTGTTCTGCCATTATCACACTGAAAGCAATGTGAATGTAGTCCCTTTGGTAAATGGTTAGCCTCGTTGATAGTGTTTACTATGGCTCTGTCATATACCCGAAGATACATAATATCACATACACAAAAATATTAAAGTGTCTTTTTCTGAGAACTCAATCAAAATAAATATATTTCAAAGATTACTTAGTTAAAACATACACTATTTAAGTATTTCATATTTGGAATTTTCAATATGCATTATACTATATTTGTGGGGTAGCCATTAAATTTAGAAGCTTAAGGGGTGTTGGTGAATGTAGGAGACATTTTCAAACAATTTAAATATTTACTGAATAAAGAATTGAGAACATCTTAGAAAACTAAATTTCATAATATACTTATGAAATAACAAGTGTGTTTGCCATGGTTTCATGGAATAGCTCATATCTTCCTGAGCCAAACATAAATTATACTATTAAAATCGACACAGCAGGCAGCCTGAGGAATGTCACATCATGCCAGTTTTGAAAGTAATATCAAAGAGGTGAATGAAGAAGATCATGGACAGCAGGCTCCATCACACCAGCAAATTGAGTTTAGAAACCAATTCCATTGGGGTGGACAGTAGACATGCATCTCCTTGGTCATTAATATAAGTGATATACTATGCTGATCTTACATTTATTCTAAAATAACAAAGCTCCATGTCTTCTCAGCATGTTCACCATAGCAAATGTACTTTAAAGATAACCAGATTAGGAGACATGCTACATATTGACTCATAATATATTCTTAAATTTAATTATATATATATATATATATATATATATATATATATATATATATATCAAACAATATATATATATATGAGTATTTGCATCATAGATTTATAAATAGTAGGAGGACATTAAAAATCTAAGTTGAATTGATATAATGAATGTGTGTGTATGTTTGTGTGTGTGTGTTTGTGTGTGAGAGAGAGACAAGATTAATTCTTCCTCTCTGAGAGAACAGTATAATTAAAATAAAACAAAATTTTATTGTTTGTATTCCCGATGTGAATATGATTTCTTTGTTATGTCATTCATCACAAAATAACTGATTAATCAAACTTCAACAATTATATTAGCTCATGATTTCAGATGTTTGTCTTACAGTTGGCTGGCTTCGTTTATTTAGGCCTGTGTAAAGACAGAGCAAAAGAACATGATGGAGAAAAGTTACTTCCTAGAAGGCAGAAAAGAGAGCCCGCAGGAAGAAGCTAGGAAATCTTCAAAGACAAGTCCCAGTAACCAACTGCCATCAGTCTGTTTCCCCATCCTCTTCCTGCAAGCAGTTGTGAACTAATCACTCACTGCTTAATGGAACCACAAGCTAAAGACTAATCCTACACCCTTGGACTTTCAAGTTTTCAGATGGAAATGTCCTGTATATCCAAACCATAATCATTTACAAACAACTTAATATTCTTTTGCTGTTGAATTCTTCTATGAAAAGAACTTTTTTTGTGAAGGTTAATCAAATGTGTACTTAGAGATAACGGCCAGTATTTGAATCACAGCTCCAATTGTTATAATTAAGATGTAGGGTAAAGCGCAATTATTCTGAATCTTTGGAATTTTCATCTACAAAATTTTATAAGTCTACTTTTTTAATTAAATGAACTAACTGATAGGTTATCTCCACCTATGAAGTGAGCCAGTTCAAGCCATACTGAAATATAAAGAAAGGTTTATTTGGGGTAGCTCTTGGGCAGGCACACCGTTCCTAAGAAAGGAGGCCAGGGAAGTTGCCATATAGAGAGAGACAGAGGGGACTGGGAAGAGAAGGAGAGAAAGAGCACACGCAGAGAGATGGAGAGAGAGAGAAAATGCCTTTTTATGTATTGAGGAGCCTCTGGGGAAGAGGAATCCTTATCCCCTGGCCCAGAAAGTAGAAGTAGCGAACTTCACCTTGTACATAGAAACTATCTACGGTGTTAACTGAAATATGAATTATATTGTGTTCTCTGTTATTTAGGAGTTTTGACTAAGTATAAAATACGCCTAAAATTACAATATAGAATTTACACAACAAAATAAATAACAATTGGATACATATTTGGGATTTGTATGTGAATACATATTCACAAGAACAATATGTATTACAAAATGCCCAAAGGGGGAGCAGGAGAATAGCATCACTAAGATAGTGGAGTAGAAAGATGTTAACACACACCTCAACTATCCCAAACAACAAGGAGGGGTAACTAGTCATCAACTAACACGCCTCGGAGACCTCAAACATCTATTAAAGAGTCCATGGTAACACAGTGGAAAAGCAGAAGAGAGAACTACATGGAAGTAATCAAAGTTGTCAAAATTGATGATGACATATCTAAAATTCTGGGTAGAGCCAGAGGCGGATGTTAAATTTAAGCAAAAGTAATGAGTATCTGTCCTAAAGTGGACACCGCTGTGGACCACAATAGTGTATTCAGCAGAGAATGCTGATGAAGTGTACCTCTCATTATATCACTTAAAATTTCTCCTATGGTGGGAGCAATGTCCCTACCCTACTGTCCATCTTCCAAACTCAGGTGCTATGGATGTTAATGATACCACCTATAAATCGTTTTATAATTTTTATTTTATTTTTATTAATTACAGTTTATTCACTTTGTATTCCAGCTGTAGTCCCTTTCCCCATCCCCTCTCAACCCCACCTTCCTTCCCTCTTCTTCTACTATTCCTCTCCCCCAGTCCAAAGATAGGGGAGGTCCTCCTCACCTTCCATCTGACCCTACCCTATCAGTTCTCAT